GGCCCCTCCCGCACCGGCCCAAAGAAGCGCAGAGGCTCCAGCGTCCACCGAAAAATCGTTTATTGCAGTTCAGAAACGGGGTCTGGCTTTCCACAGGAAAGAACTACGTTTAGAACAGGTGCGTTACAAACAGCAGGCTGAGTTAATACAAGAGCCAGAGAGATGAGCAAAGGTTTATTACAACTTAATTCTGCATAATTAAAAAAAAAAATCCTTTAAAACTATTAGCTGTAATACAAATTATTTTATACTATAAAATCAAGTTGCCAGTGTATGCATCAGTACCACACTTAGAAGTCTTGGGCTCCCACTGCTGACGGGCACTCCCTGAAGCCCACCCGGGGGGCTGGGACCCCCGTGAGATCCACCCACTTCTCAGGGGCAGCCCAAGCAGCACCGAGGTCTCTACAGAGCAAGGTTTAGCACTGGGAGACAAAGCAAGGTGAGGCTCTTCTAGTTTAAAATTCATAGAAACAGCTACAGCTGTAAACTGGAGCAAGCACTTAACACATCTAAGCATGCCTCAGTAACATCCTCTGGACACAGAATTCCTGAACTGCTCAGCTCCCTGGGGATGGCTTCGGCTGTATTTAAAAAAAAAAACACTTAAGTATTTCAGAAATCATTCCAAAACTGAAGGATTAAAATTGGTCTCTTCAAAGAGAGTCTCTTCTGTGAATTAAGACATACACACTGCATTTCTATTCAGTAACAAACTGAGGAATATTGAACAGTTCGGGAAACCTGAACAGCTTAACCTGGGTTTTCTGATCTCCCAAAAAACAGACGAAATCCAGCTGTGGGATTGCGTGAAGGTTGTACTTGCTACCTGCCCACAGACAAAAAAAAAAAAAAATCCACAAAAAAACCCCCCACAAACACACCACCATGTGGGAGGAACAGAATGGATTGTAGACTGAAGCACTGGACTGGAGGAAGAAACTTCACAAACTGAGAATGCCCACTGAATGGAAAAGCTTGCTGGATCCATGCACCCCTGAAGGTCACTGCCACGAAAAGCAGAGGCTGGAGGAAACTATCAGTCAGCCAGCAGGACTTTTTGCTCCTGACAGAAAGCGACAGAAATATAAAGTATCTAAATGACTATTAATGAGATACTCCAAAGTCAGGAAAAAGTTTTTGATGGTGTTCAAAGTTCACTTTCTGCTCATTTCCATCACTACCATGTTGCTCTCCTCAGTACTTTTGTGCAATCCATTTATTAAATAATCTAGATGGGGATAAAGTGTTCTAGTATAATGTAACCAATAATGTAATCAATTAAAATAAATCAAGTAGTTGAATTTTATCTCACCATACTCTCTTCCAGTTAACACCAGGATGGCTGCTCTGTGAGCCTACAGAAAGAGGGAGGCTGTGAGCAATAACACTTGCTCACAGGATTTCTTCTCCACAAAATTATTGTAATCCAGTTAGGAAAAACCACAAAACATGCAGAACTGAAAGATTTCAGTATGTAAAAAAGTAAAAACTTTTTAAAACAGTAGTAGCTTCAGTACAAAATTGCAAATATATGTAACAAAAAAAAAAAAGAGGTGCCTGTTGTTGAAATTAAAAGTCTACTTAAGAGCAGTTTAAACATATCACCAACTTTAAACTACATCTCTGAACAAAGCAAAGGTTATGGGCTTGCACGAGGGTAACTAGACAGTTGATTTAGGCCTGATGACCATTAAAAAAAAAAAAACGTGCACTGGCTTAAATAAATACATTTTAAACATGATAAACTCTATTTACTGAAATTTCTCTACAGAAAATAATATTGAATTACAAGGCACAGAGTTAATTGCTGCCTGCAAGTCAAGCCCACACTAAAGGCCTACTACTAAAGTAAAGGCAGAATGTGGTGAGTAGAAGTTACCTCACTGCAATACCCCTACGCCCTCACCGCCTGCAGGGCACAGAGGTAGGAGCCGCATCTGGAGCAGCACTCCTTCTACGAGTGCAAAAGACTCAAAGACACTCCAGGCAATGGCACTTGGTGAAGAAAAATATGCAGTGTCTCTAGGCTTCTGCAAATATCACGCATAATGGGTATTTTGGTGTTGCCTACAATCAGGCAATGTTTGGAACGCACTGTTGGTTCACTAGGCACATATACCAGTATTTGGATTAACTCCAGTTTATAACCTATGTGCTGCGGTTTGCTATAGCAGTACCAGTACAAGCATACAGTTAGTGTCAGCATCAGTTACACCAGCTAAAGAAAGGCACATCCTCTTCAAAGAGGGGAATTAGGGCACAAATACGTTTCTATCCACCTGGTATTTTTGTCCATATCAGACAAAGCAAGGTCAAATTAACACAAGATCCCTAATAACCTTGTTGATATATTTTCTGTTATCTTGCTAAAATGAGGCTTTTTTCTGCCCAGGATATACACCAGTGCAGTTTTGCATGTGTGGCAATCACAAGAAAGCAACTTTTGAATGTCCAGTTGAGGCTGCATACAGACAAAGCCAGTACTGTCAACTTCAGACAACAAAGCCCAGGCCAGCACCATTGGTTTCACACAGAGTATCTCTGAAGCATGCTGCTTTCATACCATCAAGCTGTAAGGTTAAGTCTAAGGAAGGTTTCACGTGCTCACTCCTCAGCTGGTCCCAGAATCACGCATAAAGAACAGTGCACATCCTGAAAATAAAAGCCAGCTGCCACTCACTAGTTTAAAAGTATATAAATAGAACTTCAGTTAAAAGAGTTTATAATAACTGATCACCTAATAGAGAGGAGAAAACTTCCCAGGTAAACCTATCCAGTGACTGGCTAACCATTACAAATTGAACTGAAACCATCAGCGAGTTGCTGGGAAGAAACAAGGGTTCCTGGTTCCTGTAAATAGAACCTCCAAATTTTCTGTCAGTGTTCTCCCAGAAAAACAAAGAAATTTTCCATAAAAATCTCAGCTGGAGGCCCCAACAATATTAAGAAGTGAAGCAATGAATTCCTCAGGAGCAAATGGGCTGCTGTAAAGTCTCTGGGATTCGTCAAAGGGATCACATGGAAAATCTTGTTTTGAGAAGCGTCATCCCAACTACCTCAGTCGGTCCGAGAAGGTAGCTGTTAACTTTATTCTCAGGGTGCAAAGTCTTTTTGGAGAGTGAAATAAAAACTCAGTTTAGAAGATTATGGAAGACCTGCATCTAAACTACTCTTCCACCTCTCCAATTCAAAAGTATGAAAACCACTCATTTGAGTTATTCATCATTGTCCTACATTTGTCACATTAGGAGAAATCAGCTCCTGTTTCTATTAATAAAATCATTGCAGGTGTTCCCTGGGTCTTGCTCATTGCATTAAACATCCCTTATGCTAATTCTGTATATAAAAAGTATCACAGTTCACTACAAGGTGAATCTCAACAATATTTCAGGCATTTTTGCATGTAAACAAATTGTTTTCAAGCTTTAAATTGACAAATTAAAATAAATGGACAGACAGATTTCTGTTTGCAGAACAAATTCAATCAGTAAATAAGAGATGGGAAAAGCAGCAGCTAGGCTTAAAGCAAAGTTATCAGCATTTGTGCTTTTCATCAAATCTAGTAACTGATGGCTATCTAGTAAAGAAGCCTGGCTTCAAAGAAGTCTCTTATGTTCCTCCACTAAATAAAGACAGAAGCAAAGTGATCCCTGGAGAAGCTGGAGACTGGAACTTTAGAAATAAAGTAGATATTTGACCTCTCAGTTGGAAAAAAAACTGTTCTGTTTCAGTTTCCCTGAAGCAGTAAGACTGCAAGAATATTCGTGGCATAAACCATTTCTGCTTAGCGCTGTTAGTGCAAGATGCAAATCTTAAATTTAACTCACTAAAGAGCCCTCCAAGATTCAGTCAATATTCAACTTTGAACATCCATCACCCAAGGTAACTACAACAAGATACATTTTCTTGTGTTTTTCTTTGTCACAGGATACAGAACTGCACGCACAGCTTCAGCAAACACCTCCCGAACACCCTCCTGATTCAACGCTGAGCACTCCAAGTATTTGACTGCTCCAATTTGTTTAGCCAGCGAAGTCCCCTGCTGGGGGGTAGTGGGAGCTAAGCTTTGCTCTTTCAACTTTTTAACTGTTTCCATGTCATTTCTCAAGTCTCTCTTCGTCCCCACTAAAAGAATGGGAACATTTGGACAGTGGTGAGAAACTTCAGGGTGCCATTTGTGCCTCACATTTGCATAGGAAGAGGGGCTACCGATGGAGAAACAGATGACGAATACATTGGTTTGAGGATAAGAGAGCGTGCGCAGGCGGTCATATTCCTCCTGGCCTGCAGTGTCCCAGAGATTCAGGCTAACTGTCCGGCCATCAACAGTCATTTGGGCACTGTAGTTGTCAAACACCGTAGGGATGTACTCTTCTGGAAAGGCATTGGTGGTATAGCTGATGAGAAGACAAGTTTTTCCCACAGCGCCATCTCCAACAACTACGCACTTTATCGTCTGCATTCTTTATCCAGAAACAAAATCCTGCATAAAGCAAGAAAAAAAGTTAGGAAAAGCACACTCAGTGACAGTCATTTTAAAGATAAGCTTTAGCATGTGTTTTTAATATTGCTAACAAATTCTTATCACAGCTAGACACACACATTCAGTGTCTCAGAAGCCATTAGGAAGAACTCACAGGCTAGAAAGACAATAGTGAAATGGAGACAATGAGTTGAGAGCTCAGTGATAACTGGCTGCATTCCAACTATGTATGTGAAAAATAGACAAAATCCCACACTCTTGCCTCACTGCCAGTTTCCCACATGCAAAGGGACCAGTCCTCAGAGGTAAAATGGAAAGTGATCTTGACCTCAGGCCTAGTAACAAGATAACTTTGTCATTCACAGGTTCACACACACCCCCTCCAAGATTCCCACTTCTTGTCTACACAGCCTACTGCCTTAACAGTTTACCACTAAAATGTCCAAAAATTATATGATAAAACAAGATACCCATTGCTGGGCTGCACTGCTACTGCCTACTATAATTCACTCAACTCAGGATCAATGAAACCCCAGGAAACTGCATTATTTAGAGGACAACAGATAAAAGGTTCAGAAAGCAGCATGTGCAAGAAAAGCTGTTATTTGAAATATAACTAGTCATAGCACCCAGATTAAAATAAAGAATTTTTTCTAAAGGAGCCAAGAACAGATTATTCTCGCTAGTCAGTGACAGAACAAACAGAACTTAATAGTCTTGAGACACAATAAAGAAAGCTTATCCTGAGCATTAGAAAAACACATTCTGTAAAAGATCAGCAAAGAGCCTTCCTAGGCAGACTGGGAAATTGTTACAGGAGATACCTGACACTTAAAGGTTTCCCTATCCCTTTCCTGACTATGTGAAGAGTAGGTTTGATAATCAAATGGATATAACCGAAAACTCAATTCATTCTAAACTTTCATCACATCAGCAGCAAGAAAATAGCATGGAACAAGTACAAGCAGTCATTTGTTGTATGCTGGAGCTTCCACTGCTAGCCTGAACAAGAAGGAACTTGCATCTGCCTTCTCACTCAAATGCCTTTGAAGTACTATAAGTAATCCTCAACTTGCAACCAGCAGCAAACATGCTGCTTCAAACAGAAAAAACGGGGGGAGGAACTATATTGCAGAAAGACCACAGCTCCAACACCATCAAAATAGCAAAGAAACCTACAAAAATGAGCAATAGTACTTCACTTTTTATAGAAGTTATCAAACCACCTCCCTGCAATTTCCTGTTCAAGACCATCCAAACAAATCAACTCACCACCATTTTAGTCTCAGCTTTGTCCTTTTTGACAAAGCCTTTATTTGTATCCACACAGTGCTCTCTTCCCACTGGGAGCACATACGATCCTTCTGTACTAATGAAAATACACTGCCTTAACCTTCGGCACAAAGCTGCAACAGGCAATTCCAGTGGTATCGACTGTGGTCACTACAAAATACTGCACTTAGGGAAGTATGAATGTATATACACACCCACATTACTGAAGACCAATTAGTGGTGGAAAGCAGTGCAGAAACCTTGCTCCAGAAAGACCTAGCAGGACACAAGAGGGGAAGAATTTAGAGGAAAACAAGCAGGAAGACGCAGAAGCAGTTTATCCTTTTTGAGAATGTCAGGAATTACATTTCTAAAACAACATGAATCACCTGAAATGAAATCTGGCAAGTACTTTTGAGCTTTGGCAGAAAAGCATACATGTGAGTTTCATCATACATCCAAAAAAAAAAAAAAAATCAGTCATCCCCATTTCAAGGCTCCAGTCAAATGTAAAGAGATGTGCTTGCAACTGCATTGTTGCAAAGCTTGTAAAGGCAACCAGTAAAATGAACAGCAGCACTGATCACCAAAGCTGACAGCCGGTCTGCATGTATTATTCCAGAGCACTTGCACTAAGATTTTCATTTAACAGGGCTGAGGGAGTGGAAGGTAACTTCTGTCAAATTAGAGGCTTAGAAACATTTCTTGCATTTTGCAAACCCCAAAGTTGAAACCCCTTTCAACAAAAAAAAATACTTAAAACGTTACAAATTAAACATTTTTAGCATTATCTTATTTTAATACCATGACACGGTTCTGCTTGAACTGTAATACACCATCCTAGTCTCTACTGCCGTTTTCTCTGCTCCGAGGCACCGCCAGGCACTCTCCAGCAGCGAGGCTGCCTTCAGAGATTTCAAAACCCTGTTTCCCCTTCCTACCCAGGTAGCACACCACCTCTTCAGCTGTGACCACACACTGAAAAAAAGGTGTGAAAATGTTTAGATTTTTTTTTCCTAAAAAACATTCTAAACAATTCCTCACCCTTTTAAAGTGTGTGGTCACATCACTGGTCTACAGCACAGAGAGCAGGTTTAAAGCTTATTCCTGTGTTTACTTCAAACCACTGAAGTACTAGAACATACTGTGCCAGAAAGCTCAGTGGTGACCAACAATTCCAGAGCAAAAGTTTTTTTCCAAATGAACTACCTATGCAACAGACCACTATTTTGACCAGTCAATAACAAGTCACATCACAGAAATGGCAGAACTAAGTCAGCTGCATCCATACAATAAAAACTCAACTATAGCAACAGAAGTCCCATGGAGAACAAGATACACAAAGCCTTTTATATGCCCGGTTTCTAGTTTCTAAAAAAAAAAAAAAAACAAAAAAAACCCACACCAAATTGCAAAGACTTGGGAACAGATCTCTCTTTAATAAACCACAAGCTCCTCCAAGGGCTTACACCTCTACGCGTGTCTGTGCAGAGCTTTTCACAGCAAGACAGGGTATCCCAGAACTGCACTCCTATCTGCACACACAAGGCACTGCTATCTGCAGGGGCATCACACCAATGCTGGAAGACAATACAGGCAGTTTCATATATTCGTAAACTACAAAGCCACATGTATCCCGTGCCATCACCAGCTAAAATAGCTTGATTCAACCGATTAAAAATTTCTAATGAAGGTGTGCTACCCAAAGATTATTTTATTGGGGCTTTATTTAAGAGGTCATTAGAGCTTTCAATCCAGAAAACAGCAGTAAGGTAACAAAAAAGCCCGAAATACAAATGCTCTTTCACAGCATTAATATACTGAATAACCTAAGGCTTGGATTTTAGAAGAGCAACATTTGCAGTAGGAACTAACTCCATGCAAACATGCCAAAGCATCAGGCTAATTATATCTACACAAATACAATTAAAGAGCTTGTAGGCTTTTAAGTATGCTTCTCTGCGGGGTTCCTTTTAAAGCAGGTTGTCTTAGCTGAAAGGAATTGCATATCCAACACAGAAAAACAAACACACAGCAGGATACACATGATTTAGTACTGAAACACAAGATTTAGAGAAATTAATCCAAAAGAGAGTAGAAAGAAACTCCTCACTCCAGAAATCTGTATGTTGTGAGCAGGTGTAGTTTGACTAAAGATCTACACATGGAAGACAAAGGGTTTTTTAATTTAAGGCACAACCAAGACAACAGTATTACCTCTATCAGGCCTTTTCTATTAAATCCACATATCACTTTGTTCAAAATGTATAAATTCTCTATTTATTTTTTCTTGCAAACAATTTGCCTAGTAATAAAACTCTCATAAGATAGTAAGAAGCTGCGATTCAAATGTGCATGGAAAATTAGTTTTATTTCTCAAGCACCCTTGAACTTAGCACTGCACACATTTTGAATATAAATATATGCTGGGGGGGAAAAAAAACAACAAACATACTCTGAAAGCAAAACTACCAACAAACATTACCAAGAGCAGGCAAATTGGTTTAGGGTTTGTTTGGGTGTTTTTGGTGAGCTTCAAAAGAAATTTTGCAGAAAACTTTAGAGACGAAGACTCCACATAAAACATGTAAGAAGAACTGAAAAAGAGAGAAATACAGATTAACACATCAACACATCAAAAATAAGACTTAGAATTTAGAAATAGAACGGTGGGCACCAGCTTCAAAACCAAGTTTAAAGGTTACTCGGCAAGAGAAAGGAGTGAACGGGAAGTCCAAAGCAGCGACAGGCAACTCGGGTTGCTTAGTCCTGCCAGAGAAAGGATTTTTGTTACAGTTAAGGCAAAAGATCATCAGAACACGAAGAGTTCTAGCAGTTACAGAAAAATGGGAATAACTTCCAAAGAATACCAAAAAAAAAAAAACCCCACAACCCAAGCCCCACAAAGAAGCTGTGTGCAAAAATACAGAGATGAAAGTTATTTCTATCTTGTTCATCAGTGCCTTTGAATTAGAAAACTGGCATTCCAAAATGGGTTAGCTTCCTTCTCAGAAGATGCTGCAAAGCCTGCTTTCGCTGCTTGCACACCTGGCACTTCCATTGGAATGTGCAAGATTTTAATCCACATGTCAAGACATCATCTGGAGAGCTACTCCCATTCTGACCTAATTGCACATTTTCTGGTAACATGGACAGCTTCCTCTGCTGTAACCCAGCTGGACATTTGCTTGGGAAATCCACTATTTGGATTCCACTTCTCCTCCCCACAAAGCTACCGTAAGTGAAATCACAGAATAACTTCATGTTGCACCAAATTTTTTTCATGGAAGATAAACTTGTAGCTCTTCCCTTGAATACTTCTGGAGGAAAGTTCCCTGTCTGCTAAGAGAAGGGAGAAAACTGATAGAAAACAGAGAGGAAACATGAACCTGAATTCTTCTGGGGCTTTCTAGATGTATGCTTTTTATACTTCCTGTACTTTGAAAAATTCTTGGCACAGGAACTACTTCTTAGCAGGATATGTGTCTGCCCTTACTACATTAACACCAGATGCCGCTTTTTTAGGTGAATTTTAGCTTTGATATTGCTCTTTGATAACCTAATTTTTGCGGGGTTTGCCAGGTGTTCTATACCTCTCTTTCTAGTTTGGATAGGGACCCATTTTGGCCAAAAAATGCAGAAAACGCATGAGGATTACAGCCAAAATCACCTGTACTGAGCTGCACAGTTCTGTTCAGCCACCACCTTTGATCAATCCCTCCCTCTT